TCCATCACGCTATCGTATAACATTGAATGTTATGTTACATGATTTGGGTTTATCTTTTGTTGGTCAGCGACATCGTGGTTTAGATGATGCTATTAATATACTACGTATCGTACGTGTATTATTGTCTGATGGGTGTTTGCTTCGTGTCAATGAACGTATTGATTTTGATAGACCTCCTTCTTTTGTCTCCTCTGTACCAAGGCATGTGACGCAGGTCACATCAGGTTTGATGGGGAGCAAACTGGTTTTACTATCACCATCTCCACGAAAAAACAAATCAAACAGTACCGGGATTGGTCGTCACAATCGTACTGTTGGAAACAAACACGTAACTCCAAGTGATCTTGACGACAGCAATCGAGAATCGTTATTATGGTTAGCCAGTATTCAGAAAACTCGGATAAATAGAGATAATTAAGCATGTTCACATTTTCATATTTCGTTTACACTCTTTCAAAGTTTAGCTTAGTAGATGTCTCTTTTTTCATTAGTAACTTTTGTTTCTATCTTTATGCATAACTAACTCATATGTCCTAATGTATGCTTATTTTGACTGTTTTCTATTATTCAAGTACTTTAAATATACTGCACAGAAATATATACAGTTGCAAACTGGTAAAATGACCAGAAATTAAGTAACCTATTCGGTTGGATTATTTGCCCCTAAATATCTATAAAAGATAGTTATGTGGAGATTTATTTTTCGTGTGTTTATGATTTCTCTCCCTAATCTTATGTTTTATTCTCAGCTTCCTACCAAAAAGCCTGTATGATTGATTGTCTCAGTTAAAAGGGAATGATGATAATAAAGTAGTTAACCAAACTTCTATTATTTGTTTTTGGCTGTCTGCTTTCTATTAGTTTTCTTTTAACGTTAAATTATAACGATGTGTAAGCTTAATTATTTTTGTTGTCTTAAAAAAATTCAGGTTTTATTCTGTACACAGGAATTTTGTGATGGCCTATGGATTAATGTCACAAAATCCTTTCTTCCTATGCTCTTTATTTGCATGTGTTAGTCTCTTTTATTTAGAACATTTTGTTTCAATATTTTTTATTATGAACTGATGTGATGTAATATAAAGTAATTGAATTATCTCTATGTCAGAATAATAATGATTGTTCATTGATACATTCTCTTTGACTGCAGCTATCACGAATAATTCAAGTAGAAATTCATTTGTACATAGTTCTGATTTTTTCTAGTAGTATGTTCTTTACACATTAAGCGAACAATTATAACTTAAAAGGTTTTATTTTGAGGTTGGGAGAATTCCGTTGTGATGAAATACATTTACTCATATTTCAGATCACAACTACAGTTAACGGTATTAATTTCTGATTAAATATAAGCCACACAATCGTTTAATTAGTATTGTATTGCACAAGACACCATACAACTTGATACGTATAGTGAAAGTGTGATTGGTTGCTGAGCGCGGACAAACAGGCACTTAGCGTAATTAACTATCAAATATGTGATTCCCTTCCCTCCCATTGATCTCTATTCCAGACTCACCGAGTTTCACTGCTTGTAACTATGTTGAATTAATTATTATCTAGTATTAATCTGGTTCTGTATTCTGGTCGTGAATGCTTGATCTAATATAACGTATACCGAGGAAGAGAAAAATATTTTAAACCGTCCGGTATATTATAATTCAGAGTTGTCAAAGCGAAAGGAAATGGAAAATCGTAGGGGTACAGATACTATTAGTAGTAAATTACTAAAATAAAGTATATGCAAAATCGCGTTAATACGGAATGATAAGATGCTTACGGCTGAAAACCGAGAAATGAAAATATTGCACCTGATATGATTGCCTTAATCTCTAAACATTAATTATGAAATCGTAGCCAAATTACTTTGAGATAACATAAGCCCTAAAAATAACGGAATTGCGATCTGATGCAAAGTTTTAGTTTGGTCACGTTTCTTCAATTTATTTCATTCCGGACCAGGTTTTTACGTTGATGAGTTGTGTTTGTGTAAAGTATTCAAGCTATGTCAGTTGATTAGTATCTACAGCTATGTGGCATAGATTCTTCGGGTACATGCGTTATCGAGTAACTACTGTATAGATATTTTCAATTTTTAGAGACAACGCTTCAATCTTAGAATAGACTACTGTACAAACTTAGTTTAAATATAAGTGGTAAAACCAGTTCACATAAGGAATGAGTAATGTAGATAAGTATAGTGAAAGCTAGAGAGGATCAGGTGAATATGGGCCATCTTTAGAACATTCTCGATGTTGTTCTTGCTGTAGAAGATCAAATTTACGACGAGTCGGTGCGAGCTGTTTTGCTCTGTCTGAAAAATCTGTCCTCGGAGTTGAGAATGATATGCAACTTTCTGTGTTTGGTCATCGCCGTCTCCGAAAGATTGCTGACATCCAATTACAACACCATGTTAGTAATGTGAAGATTCGAGAACGTGTATTTGAACACAGTGACAATAAGTCAACTGATGTCACTGTTGTATCCGAAAAAGATTAAATTATGGGTAACTTTTGGGAACTATTTATAAACTGTTGTTGTACGTATATACTTATTGTATAACTGTCAAGTAACTAGATTATATATGTTTATATTCGTTTTATCATAATCTTTTATTTGATCTGTTGACTGCTATTATACGATTTACTATTCTTAAGTTATTCCCAATCTATTTCTTACAGTCTCTCACACTCATAAACACTTTTGACTTGATCTTGTATAATTGTTATTTTCTGTTTTAAGGCGTTTTGCGGTCTGGTTTGCTTGCATATAAACTATGTATGTCTGAAATAAATTATTCATACAGTGTAGTCTGAGATTGACTTTTGAACTCGACGGGCAGGACTAGACGGGAGGGATCAATAAGGATTCAGAGTTGACGCAAGGCTGCTAGTGTTGTTTTGACGTGTCATTGGTTTGGCAGTTGTTTACTGCAGTGGCTTATTGTTTTACGCGTACAACTTTCAGTCAATGTAGGTAAGTTCCAGGTTCGAATATTACTTTGATTTGAGCAACCGAGTAGTGTCATTAGCCCTCGTAACTCGACTATGGTTCGTACCCAAGTATCTAATCGAGCCAGTTAATTAAGAATTTAAAATACTCATTTTCAAACAGTAACCCCCATCTTCCCATCATTTCAGTTGAATAGTGATCTTTTTCCTGCTTATATATTTCATGTTAAATACACCAACCACATATAGGCTCCATATGACACAATGAACCTAACTAATAAATAGGATAAAGAAATATGATAGAATGACAAACACATAAACAAGAGAACACACATTTTATGTTGTACTATATGTCTGTCTTACCAAAGATTGATAGATATATTATGACATGATGATGACATTAAACTCATTAAATACTCTTGGCATTGATACCATAATTAGTCATGATGATTAGTGGTTTGAAAGTGAAATAACCAACTACCATATTTGGTAAAAGAATGCAACAAAAAACATTACAGCAGATATTACTATACAGTTTCATGTACTGGTGTCGCCAAATTTAAAAGATAAAACATACAATTAACTTAAGACCAAAATTGGACAAAGATAACAGTTTTTCAGTTGATGATTATTAATTGGTTGTAGTGTACATAGATACACAAACTTTATCGTAAGATAAGAAAATTTCTGGTCAAGGAAAAAAAAGAAGCGTATAATTCTCTGAAATAAACAGACTAAACGACTATGGAGATATCTGATGTGAGAGAGGATAGAAATATTTAGATGCATATCATTAAACTAAGTCATTGGATAATCAAATAGTATGAAATAAAGCTACTCATTTTCATGTGATCCATATACACACACAAATAAATATCGGGGATTTTATTGTGCTGATTTCAAATTACTTACTTACGCCTGTTACTCCCAATGGAGCATAGGCTGCCGACCAGCATTCTCCAGCCCACTCTGTCCTGGGCCTTCTTTTCTAGTTCCATCCAATTCTTGTTCATTTCTCTCATGTCTATTTCCATTTCCCGGCGTAATGTGTTCTTTGGTCTTCCTCTTCTCCTCTGGCCTTGAGGATTCCATGTGAGGACTTGTCTTGTGACGCAATTGGATGCTTTCCTCATTGTATGTACTATCCACTTCCAGTGCTTCCTGGTTTCTTCCTCCGCTGGGATCTGGTTTGTTCTCTCCCACAGTACGTTGTTGCTAATAGTGTCCGGCCAACGGATCTGAAGTATTTCGCGTAAACAACTGTTAATAAACACATGTGTTTTCTGGATGATGGCTTTCGTAGTTCTCCAGGTTTCCGCCCCATACAGTAGAACTGTCTTGACATTTGTATTGAAAATCCTGACCTTGGTGTTGGTTGACAGTTGCTTTGAGCTCCAGATGTTCCTCAGTTGTAAATATGCTGCTCTTGCTTTTCCGATCCGCGCTTTCACATCCGCATCAGATCCACCGTGTTCATCAATGATGCTGCCAAAATATGTAAAGGTTTTTACATCTTCCAAATCTCCTCCGTCAATTGTGATTGGATTGGTGCATGCAGTGTTGTATCGGAGAATCCAGCTTTTCCCTTTGTGTATATTGAGACCTACTGCTGCTGAGAGTGCTGCCACCCTGTTCGTCTTCTCCTGCATTTGTTGTTGCATTTGGGATAGGAGGGCCAGATCATCTGCGAAGTCTAGATCGTCCAACTGCATCCTAGATGTCCATTGTATCCCGTGTTTCCCTTCAGATGTTGAAGGGATGTATAAAACACTTAATACTGGTATTTATTTCACTGGCTAAATAACAAGTGTTGTGAGGTTTGTAAGAAGAAGGAACAAACGTATTCTGTACAGTGTTATTACTGCTGATCCCAATCAATAATATTAATCCCCATTTTGTTTTAGGATGATATTTTTTCATTGTTGTTAAACGAAACTCCAAAGAATTGGTGCATAGAACAGAAGAGACGGAAAGCGGTGGAGAATAAACAGAGGGAAACAAGTCATTTGACAAAATAGCCTAAGTTTATGTACAATACGATCCGGTTACTTACATTGGGTTGATTGGTTGAGGTGGTGGCCAGTTATTAATCAGATGACGTAATGGACGAAAAGTAGTAGTACATGGTTTGTAGTTGGAATTTTTGTTACAGTAATCAGGACCAACTGTAACAAAAAAGAAAAACATTTTAGAAAAAGTACAGAAAGGTGAGGACGGAAGAAAACCACACATGTAAATCAACTTCATTAATCAAGAAAGTTGAGAAAAAAGTAAATCAGTGAAGGGTTGATCTCTATATATATAATTGACAGTGCAATCTTACTTTTAATCGACAATTTGATCAGCTATATTACCATTATCATTGGGTTAAACTGTTTATCATTCATTTGGATAAGGACTTAGGTTCTTGCCGTATTATTCATCCTGTGATAACCATAGAGGGATTAGTTTGATTAATATAGCATCTAAAATACTAGCCTCAATAATTATCGGATACCTATCCTTCTTTCTACGAACTAATTCTTCCTTCCTGTACTATGTCTTTATATGCAATTGATCAGCGCTAATAACTAGACGAAAGATTTGATGCTAATAGTCAGTGACCAACACAATTGGGAATATCTGTTTAACAGAAGGTCATTTGGAGCACAAATAGCTTAGTTGTGGCATATCAGACAAGTTGATATGGGTCCGGGGCCTACCGGGAGTACCAATTACCTCAAAATTACGGGTACGCTATGATGATAAGTGCCAACTGGCAAGAAAACTAGATTTACAGTGTCTCCCACCGACTACCTACAAACATCTAACATTTAGTTCATCTTCGGTGCTTTATTTTGCTCTTTAAACGTCAAGTAATAAAAAGGGTTTATCATGTGATATTGTTGAAATGAGGCTATATTCTGTTGTATTTTTTAAAATTTCTTTTAAAAGAAATAACTATAACCACTATAGTATACTGCAGAATCTACCATTTAATGTCGACTTAATCCGATGTAACACAGAGCGATATCACTAATGATAATATGTTAGTGTAACACAATTCCCACCTATACAACTTCGCAGGGTTAGGGTATGGTGATTCTGTTATTAACTCTACTATTTCGGGGTTCGGTCTAACAATTTCATCTCGTGCCAATACGAAGGCGTAAATTGAACAGATGTACATAAGTATCAAGTTCTACGTTGTGGCAAACTGACTTTTTATCGTTAACAATGTAAGCGGCTAATGAATTATACTACATGACTAGCTAAATCAAAGTAAATTGTGATTATCAAATGTTTGAATGATTCACATAAACTCAGTTGAAGTACAGCAACTAATAGAACTGTTAGTCTGAATGATGCAAACAAAGGTTTAAATAAGTCATTTCCAGTTAATTCAATATATAGTCATATAATTAATGATAATCTTTAATGATACTACTTATATCTGTCAACGCAACTGACATACACTACGATACTACTACTGTTAAAAATAGCATTATTGTTGTTACTATTATTACTAGAAAATTATTTTCCCGTTATTAATGAAATTATTAACCTGGATTCAACTTAGTTAACATGGGATTTGATGAATTTGAGAATTTACTATTAATACTGTAAACATGACTACAACTATCAGTAGTAGTAACAGAAGTAGGTGTTGTTTTCGTTGTTAATTTATTGACAGTTAAAGATAATGATGAAGATGAAGAAAATTTCATGGGATAATTCGATTCTAACTGTTCAAGAACACTTACTAAACATCCGATTCCGTGATTTTAAACATTTTCCTTGTAAATGTTTCCATTCACTTTCCATATTTTAATTATTATTAGACGATAATGAACTATGAACAGACTTTGATGAGAATACAGATAGATTAAAAATTTGAGAAATAACGACTGATGGTGGATCATGAGTACGATTTAGTTTAGAAGATAAAGATGAGGAACTAGTAAAGAGTGAACATGAATTTTTTATAGTAGTAGTATTACTAGTAGTAATACTAGAATTTGATGAATTGGAAGTAACAGTATAATCTATACAAGAATCATAATTCATAATCCAACTTTTATCATTTTATTGTTATTATTTGAACATATAAATATTGGTACAAGAGAGCGTCAATATATATGCGTCACACAAAACAATGAGAATGCGGAGAGAAAGAAAAAAAGGTAAGGAGCGTAAAAAAGGAACAATAACGAAGAGGTTGGTGTAAGGTAGTGTAGTAATAATAATAGTAATAATGAGGAAACGGAAAGGTACTATCAGAAGAGATCTTTCAGTTAAGGGAGACACAACCACTTTTTATGAAGAAAGTAAAAGAAGGTTACAGCAGGATCGCCACTGGCTTCTATTCTGAGCCATATCTGATAACGTCTCTAGCCACTGTGTTGCACCATCTCTCAGACCCCAACCAGGGAGTCGTGAAGGACCAACAGAAGCCAGTCATTTGCAGCTTTCTTTCATACTACGACACCATGTCATGCACTGACCACCTCTCCGCTTCTTCCAACCAGTCCCAGAGTCGGCAAATAATGCACGACGTGGAATTCTCTGGGACGACATTCGTAGAACACATCCAATCCACTGAAATCGATGTTTCAAGATGGTGACACCAATTGAATCATCATCTCTGTGCCCGAACACACGATACCGAACCTCTGCATTATTGACATGGTGTTGCCACTGAATGTCAGCAATCCTTCGGAGACAGCGATGATCGAACACAGAGAGTCGTCTAACATCCTCAACTCGGAGAGACCAGGTTTCACAAGCATAGAGCAAATCTGCTCTCACCAACGCGTTGTAGATCCGACCTTTTACAACCAGACTGACATCACGAAGGCGCCAAGAGTGCCCAGATTGGCATAAGCCGCTCTAGCTTTCACTATTCGTGCATTGATCTCATCACTCACACCCCCACTAGCACTTATGCAGCTACCCAGATACACGAACTTCTCGACTACTTCTATCTGCTCACCATCCAGGGTGAGTACAGGATTGGAATCCTGTCAGTCTTGTAGAAGTACTTTGCACTTCGAAGGTGCAAAGCACATACCATACCTACGGACACTGATTGCCAACTGATTAAGTGCGGATTGCATGCCTTGGGCATTATCGCACAGCAAGACAATATCGTCCGCATACTCAAGGTCGAGAAGTGTTTCTCCAGGAAACAGATCCACACCACCATTACTTACATTCATCAGAGCTGTTTCCAGAATGTCATCGATGGCAAAGTTGAAGAGGAATGGTGAGATTGGGCAACCCTGCCTAACCCCACTACTCGAATGGAACAATGGAGAGAGGTGGTTGTATGCCCTCACTCCGCCTGAGGTGTTTGTATATGGGGCCTTTATGATGTTAATAAACTTCTCAGGCACACCCTTCTTCAATAGACAATCCCAGAGAACAGTCCTGTCCAACGAATCGAAGGCAGCCTTGATGTTAAGAAATACTACGATTGTTGGCCTTTGATAAGTCTGACGGTGTTCTGACATTTGGCGGAGGGTGAAGATATGATCAATACATCCTCGACCAGAACGAAACACAGCCTGCTCCTCGTGAGTCAATCTTTCTCGGGTTTTGAACAACCTACGAAGTATGACGGAAGCCAATAGTTTGGACGCAATCGGAAGTAGACTTATCCCCCGATAGTTGTTACAGGAACGACGTGAACCCTTTTTAGAGATAGGGACAACTACCGACTCATTCCATGACTTTGGTACACTCTCGAGCTCCCAGAGCTTTGTAAACAACGTCATCAGTTCGTTAGTCAGAAGTCACCACCATCTTTAAAAAGGGCCGGAGGTAAGTCATCTGGGCCGGGTGATTTGTAGCGTTTCAAGAGTTGGAGTTCCTTGCGGACTTCATCCTCGTTTGGTGGATCAGTCGTCACCGGCCATGGAGGGCAGGACAGTCTGACCGATGTTGCCGGAGCAACAGGCCAGTTGAACTGCCCTTCGAAAAATTCTGCCCATCGTCCAAGACGTCGATGGATGTTAGTGATTGGCATCCCATCATCCTCGCAGATTGTTTCACTCACATTCGATGAGTTGTAAGGAGCCAGAAGAAACCCACAACTGACTGTACCCGCCATTTTCATGGCGTCATGCAGTTGCAACCAATGCTCATCTATACTTTTCGGTGGAGTGGTAGCTAGCCTAGAAACTAGCTCGGTTCGATACTTACTTGCAATAGAAGTTACAACCAACTTGCTAACATCAATCCGTTGGTGGCGGTCACTTTGTTGTCCACTGAAAAGTACGGTAAGATTGGCGCAGACCAAAGCATGGTCAGAGTCCAGATAGGTACTCCAAACGGAGCGGCAGTCTTGCACACAACCACGCCAGCGGTAGTTGATCACGATGTGACCAACCTGAGTCCAGGCTTGAGATGCAGAAGGGGGACGCCAGGTGGCACATCGGCGATGACTATGCCGAAAGATAGTGCTGGCCAGAAACAGGTTGTGGTTTGTGCATAGTTGCAGTAGACGGTCCCCGTTATCTGACCTGCGACCAACGAGTCCCCATCGGCCACCTAGACGACTCTTCTGCGCCTAGACGCTCGACCTGAGCATTCAAGTCTCCGGCTAGTACTACAATATCTGTCGAACGCACTTTCCATAGAAGAACAGTTAACTGGTGATAAAATTCATCCTGGATTGCATCCAGGCTGCAATCTGTCGGGGCATAGGCGGATATGACGAAAATACATCGTTTCTCACGCCGATTTCTTCTCACTTTGATGGAACTCTCCATTCTAACAGCACATAACCGACTGTTAATGGGGATCCAATCGATTAGTGCTGCCTCGGGTCTAGCTCTCAGTGCGACACCAACGCCAGCAAGACCAGACGAAGATGCCACAGGGTCTCCGGATAAGCGCACGTGAAACAAGCTTTTCGAAGCAACAGATGAAGAGCGAATTTGTAGTACTTCACCAGAGTCTTGAATACGGGTCTCGGATAGACAGCAAACATCGATATTAAGACTTTCCAAATACATAGCCAGCCCTATCTGTTGTCCAACCTGCATAAGTGTGCGAACGTTGAAGGCAGCCAGTTTGAATGATGCACGTGGTTTCAGAAAAACTGCTTCAGTACCCACATTCAGTGGTAACATACAATTTTCAACCGGACAGTGACTCGAGAACGTTTAGATACAGTCGAATTTCCACCAAAGACGAGCCACTGTATAAGTATAAAAGAGGGTGAATAATGTGATAAATAATAATAATAATAATAATAATAATAATAATAATAATAATAATAATAATAATAATTTGAATCATTTGATTGTTTTTCGAAGCGAGAAAAGTAGTTTCCATAGATATAGAGAGTTCATCATTTGCGTGTGGGCTGCGATACTGCCCGGGTGCCCAGACCGAAGCAGGTGGACATCTTAGGGGGCCACCCCCCCGAGCCTTTGACCTAAAGGTCTAACCCACAAGGCAGTGGAGCATCGTAAGGAGATGCAGTCCCATGGTAGCCGGTGACCAACGATTGGTTCATAAGCCATTTGTTTCCGCAGGATACTGGAGCCCATGTGCACCATTGGTTTGGAATCCGGTTAAAGCGCCGGACATTCGCTTTTCGTCCTCTCATTTTTGTAAACAACACCCCCGCCACGAGAAGGCAATGAGTAGGACTTCCCTGGCAGAGGCTGTATACGCGTGGCCGTGTGAGAGTATTTCGAGAGGGAGAGCGGACTCTTCCCACTCTCGGCCATACCAGGGCATTTGGGGGTCAACTATTATCAGGCCGGAGACGTGTTGATGATGTACGAGATGATCGAGTAGAATGTGATTTGTTGTAACATTTTGATTAGTTTTTAGCATGAATAAATCAGGATACGATGATTTCTTTCGTTCAGTCAATACCATTTTTATATTTGACAAAGGGATAGAATTAATTTCTTTTAAATCATTACTATTATCATTTAGGGGTTTAATAATACAATCATTTGGTAACATATATTGAGGTGAAGTAGTTGACTGTGTCATTAAATCAGATTGATGAGGATAAGATAAAAATGTAGCATATGATACATCATTTCTGGGGGTCAATATATTAGTGACAGTCGTTGTAGTGTTAGAATTGTTACATGTAAATTGATTCTTCCTCCATTTCAATGTAGGAGTAAGTGCGGATTCGTGTGATGCTAGCATTTTTTCATTTTTACCTTGACTCACTGAACTCATGAATAAATTAGATTCTAAAAAATTTCAACAGAAATAACAAGCATGGAAGAGACAGGAAAACGATAAGTAATCTTTTTACTATTAATGGAAATATGACATTATTTTTTTAGAAATACCATTTATCTCATTAACACCAATTACAGGTGTTACGTATTTGACTACTTTATGTTTGTCCGCCTAATTGTACTACAACTATTTATTTAAAATGCAGTGGACAGAAGGACTGAGGGTTCGAGCTTACGGTTTGGTGGATTGGAGTTGAAAGATTTAACCAGTAGGTTATCATCGTTCCAGAAACTGCATTTAGCTTATTTTAATTGAGATTTGTTATGTCTTGCACAAAATATTGATATGTTACTACTGATATGGTTTTTGACTATGTCTGTGAAATAACTGCTTTCTGCTAATTGTTCAATAGAACAAGACTGTGTGGAGATATATCTGACAAGCTTATTTTGTAAATAGTTTTTAATATTATTTGTATTTGTCCATTTCTCACTGAATGTACATTTATCATTAAATGATTGTACCTGTTGTTTAAGTAAATGACCTTGAAGACTTTTTCCGTTGTGTTACTAACATAGGGTGACATTTTCAGTTGTTCACAAATACACTACTACGCACATACCCATTGTTCTATTGTCGTTCGTTACCAAGTCAATTGCGTTCTAAACTGGATATTATCCTCATTTCAGACTGCTGTGTCATTTCCATTATATCCTACGTCAAAGAAACTTATTGGCGTCATATTTACCTCTGTGGAATTATTACGCATTTATAATTGTGGAATTTTGAGACCAAGACTCAACAGAACACGCAACGACTAGCCGATTTAAGTAACGTCCCTAATTTGTTATTGTATTTGTAACATTTAACTTGTAAATATTAATATTACTATTGATTGTTAGTAACTTTGTTGATACTTTTGCGTTAATATATTGTTTGGTCCACCACAATTATTTGGTGAGCCTCGTTTTTTTTATATAGACATTTACCTTATATATCTGCATATTTTTTTTATTATTATTACCTGGCACGACACCATTTTTTTTGTTTTTGTCATTATGAACTCTCCGGGTAAACTTATTGATATTGATAATTCACCGTCCAATCTTCTAAACTCTCCACAACCAGAGGATAATGCTTTAAACTCGATCAACGCTATCTCAGAGTTAAGATTACCAACGTATTGTATTAATAATCCAAGAATCTGGTTTGCTCAGAATGAAGCTTTATTCATGGCTAGAGGCATAAAATCTCAGGCATCAAAGTATGCATACGTAGTCGGTGCACTTCCTGTTGAGATTGCCGCTGAAGTTGGAGATTTAATCGATCACGTGCCAGAATCTGAACCATACGACAAGATAAAAGCAGCAGTTATTCAACGCACCACGGTCTCAGATGAGAAAAGGCTGCAACAATTGCTAACGTCTTGTGACTTGGGAGATAAAAGACCCTCTCAACTTCTCCGTCACATGAAACAACTCGCCGGTCCATACAAGCTAGACGAAGCCCTCCTAAAGCAAATGTGGTTTCAAAGATTACCACACAGCGTTAGACAAATTCTCAGTGTTTCAGGGAAATCCGTCGCACTTGATGACTTAGCCGACATGGCGGATAAAATGATGGAAGTCTACCATGATAGTCACGGTGTGAACTCATTGCAACCACCTGGACCACTAGATATTAGCTGTTTAGTCTCCTTTCAAAAGCAGTTAACGCATTTAACGAGCCAGCTAGCGTCTCTGCAATCAACCATAGCAACCATCCAAGCTAGACAATCGAGATCCCCCTCCAGACGAAGATCTCTTTCTAGACAACGGTCTAGGTCACCGAAGCGAACATCTGATGTTTGTTGGTACCACCAAAAATACGGCACCAAAGCACGGCGTTGTACACGACTGTGCACATTTTCTGCGTCTGACACAGAGAATCAGGGAAACGGTCCGGCCAGACAGTGATGGCGGCGCCTGTTTCTGGCCACTACCCGAGCCGTCTATTTCATGTTAGGGATCGAATTTCGGGCTCAGATTTTTTGGTCGATACGGGAGCCGAAATCAGCATTATCCCATTACACCTCTCTCAACGACGGCACACTCAGAGTACTAAATTGTCTCTAGTCGCAGCCAATAACACAGTCATTAAGACTTATGGCGAACAATCACTTATTTTAGATCTCGGTCTCCGGAGACGTTTCACATGGGTTTTCATCGTAGCTGAAATCAAACAACCCATTATCGGGGCCGATTTTCTCGGTGCTTACAACCTACTTGTAGATATGGCAAAAAAGAAACTAATCGACAAAAACACAAGCTTACAGGTCAGTGGCACAACTATCTCCAGTTACGAAATCCATGGAGTCCGTATGTTAAGACCTGAAAACAAAATTTTCACCGATATCCTGTCGAAGTATGAAAGTATAACCAGAGCCGATTACCAAAACGAATGCTCCACACATCATGTCCAACACAGTATTACTACTACAGGACCACCTATCCGCGCCAGGGCGAGAAGACTCCCTCCAAACAAGTTGCAGTTCGCTAAGAGAGAATTCGAACATATGATGCAACTTGGGATAATCAGACAATCTAACAGCCCTTGGGCCTCGCTGCTGCATATGGTTCCCAAGAAAGATCAAGACTGGCGCCCATGTGGAGATTATCGCCGTTTGAATAACCAGACTATCCCAGACCGGTATCCGATACCTCACCTGCATGATTTTTCTTTAAATCTACATGGAAAACAGATTTTTTCAAAGTTAGATCTAGTCCGAGCATACCACCAAATACCGATGGCACCTGAGGATATCGAGAAAACAGCCGTAATCACACCTTTTGGCTTGTTTGAGTTCTTGAGGATGCCTTTCGGACTAAAAAACGCCGCTCAAACCTTCCAGAGATTTATGGACGAAGTAACTAGAGGTTTGGATTTCGTATTTGTCTATATCGACGATGTTTTAATCGCTAGTTCTTCCATTGACGAACATGTTCAGCACCTACACACACTTTTTGAACGTTTCAAAAGTTATGGTGTTGTAATCAACCCTTCGAAGTGTATATTTGGTGCCTCATCTCTGGAATTCCTGGGACACCACATTGATTCCCAAGGAATTAAACCGCTTGAAGAGAAAGTCAAAGCTATCTCCAGCTATCCAGAACCAACCTCAGTAAAATCACTACGTCGTTTTCTCGGAACATGTAATTTTTATCTACGATTTCTACCAAATTGTGCCGATGTACTACAGCCATTGACAGATTTACTGAAAAACGATAAATCAGGTACCAAGAAAGAAAAGAACCAAATATTCAAGTTACCTTCCGACGCCAAAATAGCATTTGAAAAAGCTAAATCCATGATTGCTAATGCTACCATGCTCCAACACCTAAATACTGACCCCACAACACTGTTGATCCTATGCACTGATGCTTCACAAAAAGCCGTCGGGGCAGTATTACAACAGCGGGTAAACAACACTATTACCCCCATTGCCTTTTTCTCCAAGAGATTATCGCCAGCACAAGAACGTTATAGTACTTTTGGACGCGAACTCTTAGCTATGTATTTAGCAGTAAAACATTTCAACTTTTTGCTACAGGGTCGTGATTTCATCATTATGACAGATCACAAACCTCTTTGCCATTCTTTTAGCACATCGTATGACAAACACTCCCCACGAGAAGCAAGACAACTTGATTATATCTCCCAACTTACCACAGACATCAGGTTTATCAAAGGTCACATGAACATTGTTGCAGATGCACTATCTAGGAGGGATATCAATACGATGGTACTCAATCATGACATCAGCCTTGAAACCTTAGCTAAATTACAAGCAGACGATGCAGAATTGAAAGCCTGCAAAGAAAAGTCTAGCTTAGATCTCAAACCTGTACCGATTCCTCTTTCAGATACATTTATCATATGCGACACTTCAACAGGCAACAATCGTCCGTTTGTCCCACACGCTTGCCGACGAAAAATATTTCAACATTTACATGGTCTTTCACATCCAGGCATCAGAGCAACAACAAAGCTCATTACCGAACGTTTTGTGTGGCCTAAAATCAACTCGGATGTTAAACGTTGGACACGTAACTGTCTCCAGTGCCAACGCAGTAAGACGCAAAAACACACCTACAGTCCAATTGGGAAGTTCCCTATCCCTGACAAACGCTTCCAGCACGTGCATTTAGATTTAGTTGGGCCTCTGCCACCATCAAACTCTTTCACACATATCCTCACCGCAATAGATAGGTTCACAAGATGGGCCATAGCATGCCCCATTAAAGACACATCAGCAGAAACAGTCGCTTCAGTCATCCTTGACCGCTGGATAACTAACTATGGAGTACCACCAATAATCACAACAGATCGTGGTCCTCAATTTCAATCTGTCCTTTTCCAGGAGTTCACTAAACTTCTAGGGGTCAACCATATTAAAACCACAGCTTACCACCCAGCAGCTAATGGCATGGTTGAAAGATTCCATCGCCAATTAAAAAGCTCACTGATGGCGCAAGCCGACTGATCAAAGTGGAGCGATGCCTTACCGCTTGTACTCCTCGGTATTCGTTCAACCATAAAGGAAGACATTGGATGTACAGCCGCTGAGTTAGTCTATGGTACAACTCTAACGTTACCCGGCCAAATAGTCAACTATGAACCTACAACGCACGGGGATTCTACTCACTTCGCAAGCCGCCTATTACAAATGATGCAGAACATTAGAGCAATACCACCTCGAGAATACAACAACCGAGTCCATCTCGATAAACATTTAGAAACGTGCAAATTTGTTTTTGTTCGAGTAGACGCGGTGAAAAAGCCACTGACACCACCGTATGAAGGCCCTTATAAAGTAATAAAACGCACTCACAAATATTTCATTATCAATAAAAATGGGAACAAGGAGACAATTTCCATTGACCGAATAAAACCAGCTTTCTACGAAGTCCCTCAAGCCACAGAAGACAATGCTGCGAACAAACAATCACTCCCAT